ATGAAAATGTACGTCCTGCTGCACTTCTTGCAACAAACTGCAATGGTGCATTGTAAGGCAGCTGCATTCCAGAAAGTGCCATTCGAAATAGTGGTACCGCAAGGCACTAACACATGCATGCTGTGCTAAGAAGAATGGCGTATTTTACCGCATGCTATCTCAACATGCAAGTGTGAATGGGCCCTTCCATGTACAATACTGCTATACATGTATGTGAACGGGCCCTTTCCTGTACAATATTGTTATACATGTATGTAAACGGGCCCTTTCCTGTACAATGCTGTTATACATATATGTGAACAGCCCCTTCCCTTTCAATACTGCTACACGTAAGTGTGAACGGGCCCTTATTTCTGAACTGTCTTAAATGCCTTATTCACACAGGAAAAGGCCGGCATGTACAGCTCCGTGCTGCGTGCATGGCCGTATCGGGCAGCTCCCGGGAAGGACGGGTGCTGCATGTGATTAGTACGCAGCCCCCATCCTTCTCTATAGGAGTACGCTGCCCTGCACGTCCATGCGGGTGCCTGTACTTGTACGCTGACAGGATGGATCCTGTCTGCGTCCGAGCCAGGAAACACGCACCCGTACGGACCTGCACTTGAGGTGAGCGTAGGGCGGCGTACAGCAGCGTACTCCCATAGAGAAGGATGGGGGCTGCGTACTAATCACACGCAGCACCTGTCCTTCCCGGGAGCTGCCCGATACGGCCGTGCACGGAGCTGTACGTGGCGGCCTTTTTCTCATGTGAATGAGGCCAAATGGTACGTAAACTCTAACAATGAGCTTCTCATATTTGCTCCCTTTTTGGTTTGTTAAATATACAATTTAAAGTGTTTTTGTTATATCCGTTCGAGTGCAAAAAAAAAAAATACCTGTTGATCCCGCCAGATCACCAATAAATAAGTTATAATAAATAAGCATTAATAAGGCAGTAGGAAGTACAATGGTTGTGTGGGAGGTAACCCATGGCAACCGATCACCTTTCATGTGTTCCATCCTCCTGTATGTTCAGATCGGATTTCTCTGGCTCATCATCATTTCAATGACTTATTTAATATTAATATGGATCTGAGTGTAAAGTCTTTGTTATTCCGGGGACAGTTCCTGGTCTGCGGACCTCCTGGGAATATTTTGTCCTTTTTCATTTCAAGAATCTGACCCAGAAATCCTTTCTTGTGGTCTCTGACACTCAGCGATACTTCCGCCTGTCAATATAGAGGAGAAGTGTTACATGTTATCCTGGCAGCTCGCCAACTTGCAATGTTTCACAAAGAAAACTTTGTCTGGAAATATTGTATCATTTTCTGCTGGGACTCTAAATTAACCCTCGCATGGGAGCACACGCCATGCACACGCAATGACACGTGGGGAAAACATGTGATGTGCTTGTGGTGCCATTACTTATTAATGGCATCCCCAATGCTGCAAGCCAAACGCAAGGTCAAAAAATACACGAAGCTCGCAGGTAAAAACGGCTGCATGAGCTTTGCCGCGCCAAGGGCAGCCCTGTCCTGATGTGCTGCAAAATGCGCATAAACGCGACACACTTTTCCACATGCCGCAAGTGTGAACAGGGGCTTACTGTGAAGAATCATTGGATAGAAGTTGACTCCTGGTCTGCATGGTGAGGTGAAATGTGCAGTGTGTCAGTGATTAGGGATGGGCTTGATGTTCAAGTCGAGCAAGAGTTCGACTAGCACATCGGCAGTTCGTGTGTTTGGCGTTCGCCCACCCCGCGCTGTGCCTCTCGTCTTTTGCTTTTTTTTTCCAAATAAAGGATTTTTTCAATATTCTAGTGTTTTTATGTACAATTTATTGTAACCATTTACAAGTACCCCTTACTCATTCACAAGGGGAAGGGGCCACACCTGGGTGCCCCTTTTTATTAAAGCGGTACCCTGATGTTAATAAGCCCCCTGCCCGCACCTCCACAACCAACACCTCAGGGCTTGTGGGGAAGAGGCCCTTGTCCCCGGCAAGGGGTGACCCTGAGGAAGCACAATCCCAGTGCAGAGGGCATGTGGCCTGGTATAGCGAGGGCCTGTGCTCTGATCAAGGGTCTGGTTAGGAATTTTAGGGGGGACCCCATGTTTTTCCCACCCATTTTTGGGGCTGGGGTTCCTCCTTAAAATTCCTACCAGACCTTAAGGGTCTGGTATGACTTTTTTGGGGTGAACCACACGCTTTTTTCTTTTTATTTCAATAAGGTTCCTCCTAACTCTCCTACCAGGCCTAAAGGGGGAACCGCATGTTGTTTTTTTTTGTTTTTTTTTTAGGGATGTCATTTTTGCTGCAGCAGGTTTTATACATCGTACAGATCCGCCACTTTACAGGCAGTTTAAGGGGACCCAGGGCACGATATTTAAACAAATTTTTCATTTTTATTGTTACACTTTAGTTGATGGTAAAATCACTGCTCCTTTAAAACCGTTTTTATTTAACCAGTTGACATCCGCGGTGTTAAACCCCCTTCCCATCCAGGCCATTTTTCAGTATATCCGTTTTTTTACTACGGGCAGACGGCAAGTGGTTAAAGTGTTTTTTGCATTGATTCATGACCCCCGGGGCAGTACCCGGATCCCCATACACCTTTTTATGGCCATTAACTTTCATATAAGCCTTCAAAATGGGGACATTTGTTTCTGAAAGTTCTACCCCCATTGACTTGCATTGAGTATGAATTTTTAACTTTTTTTTTCATTTTCTAAAGTTCTAATTCGAACCGAACACTAATTCGTTCCATCACTGTCGGTGACGGGGCTCCCATGTGTCGGTGACGGGGCTCCCATGTGTCGGTGACGGGGCTCCCATGTGTCGGTGACGGGGCTCCCATGTGTCGGTGGTGCGTCTCAAGTGTCGGTGGTGCGTCTCTCAGGTGTCAATGATGGAGCTCCCAGGTGTTGGGGACAGGGCTCCCGTTTGTCAGTGTTGTGTCTCTCAGGTGTCATGATGGGGCTCCCCAGTGTTGGCGATGGGGCTCCCAGGTGTCGGTGACAAGAGCTCAGAAGTATATTGGTTACAGGTGAGAAGATCTGCAGGTGACCTTGTCAGGGAGCCAATCTGGTTCTGTATCTCTCCTCAATCTGTGTCCTATTGCCCCATTCAGCCCCCATTCACACTAAAGTTCGAGCGTTTTCAGGCAATTATTAAAGCTTTCATGTAAAGTTTTGGCTTCAGCGTTTTTGTTTTAGCTAAAAGTGATGTGTGGAAGCTCAGTGCAAACCAATCTCTCCCAAGCCCACACACCATCTGTTACTGACACCCCCCTCCTGGCCCAATCGGTTGCGTCCGGGGCTTTCCCCGCCACACATCATAAAGGGGCAGGGAATGCCCCTGCCGCATCTAATTGTGCCAGGAGGGGGGTGTCGGTGAAAGTTTTGTGCGGGCTTGGGAGAGCTTGGTTAGCTCCAAACACCCCGCATATCACTGTTGGCCATAAGAAAGCTACTTGCTAAGAGGAGGAGATGTCTGCTGGGCATGAAATTGTGTGAAAAATGCATGTTGCATGCATCTTTTGGCCATTCTTTAAATGCACACGTTGAAGTCTATCAGAGCCAAAAATGCACAATTCTGCCGAAAAAAGCTACAAGCATTATAATGCTCAGGTGTGAGTGGGCGCCATTCAATGGATTCGCTCATGTTTTAGCTTTTGTTGCTCCTTTGTTGGCAAAATACTGAGGTGTTAATGGGGGCTAACAATCCCCCACCCCCCCCCCCCCCCCCCCCCAGGCTCATCTTTTATGACCATTCAATGCACTGTCCATGGGCTAAAAAACACACCTGAACTGTTATTCCAGACCATGCACGCATTTTTTTTATTGCATGTCATGGTGCACTCTGGGTCAGGTGCTTTTGTTTAAAGCATATGTGTGCATTTGGGTTCAGCTCCCAGGTCATCGTGAGTTTTTGTACTGCGCATTGACGCATGCATGCACTAGTGTAAATGCAACCAGCTTCACACCTGTGTGTTGCAATAACTCACAATGCCTGGAATTGCAGGGTGCCTCTCCCCCTCAGGCACCTATTTATTTTTTAACTTGGCACAGCTGTGCACGGCTCCATCCTGCGGTACTTCTCAGTGGAGTACCAGTGTGGTGACGTCAGAACTTCCTCAGCTCCATAACTGAAGGTCCGTGCCCTGTTAAGGAAAGTCTCTGATTGTGGTCGCAATGCTTTGCAGGCTGCAATGCAAATAATGAATGAATGCGCTTTTTTTCTTTTTCTTTTTGCATTGTTGTCGCATTCATGCATTTTTTTGCAAAAAATGGGATAAAAGGTGGAGTGTTCCTGCAAAAAGGAAACTAGCTGTATTTCAAGAATGTACTGAAAAGTCTGCTCAGCCTTTTGTTTCTTACCGTTCTAAATCCAGAATGCCTGCCGCCCAGAATAGATTGCAAGCTCTGCAGCCCAGATCGGCTGCCATTCTCAGAACTAATATTTCATGGACAGGCTGGGATATTAAGGCCGCTGTCCCCTGCAAACCACCAGTTCTTTTTTTGGTGTTTTGCTGAAAAATCTTCAATCCATGGCCAGCTTTAGATTGCCAGCTCTGTGCCCCAAGCTGCCTATGCTTGCAGCCCTGCATCTGCCTCCCTCCTGTTCCTGCTGATGCCACGAGCTGTGACATGGCTCTCTATGAGCTCCTCTATGGGGAGGGGGAGCCTTTCAGCATGTTCCCTCTGAAGAGTTTGGATCTTGTGTTTAATTTTATTTATTCCCCTGCAAAGAGAAATCGTCAGGCTGGGATTCATCTGCCTCCGAGCACAGGCTAGAATGGATCCATGCCTTCACATCTGTGCTCTCTGCTAATTCCAACATGAAGCAAATGATTGTTCCCACCTCGTCGTACAGAATGAGCATCATGCCTGTCCTTACATAAGCCTAGACCCAACCGCTCCCCCATCCGGCGATTGAAGAGCCACCAAGGACGTCTCCCTTCTCTACCCAACACTGAACGCTCTCTCTCCATCCTCCCGTGTCCCGGGGTAAGCATGTTCTTCAACCAAGTACCCCGATGATGCCTGTATAGCATGATGCAGGGCTAAGCCTGAGCCTCCGATGGATGTGGGCGGACTTACAATGGGATCATCCCCTCCTCTTGTCTTAGTAGTGCAGTCAGGAGCTGCTCTATCCATTCAGCATCAGCTCCCAACATCTGCAGTAAGAGGAATGAGGGTGAGTACAGTTCATCTATCCCTACCGTCGTGAACAGACTTCCAATCGCCTTTTGGTTGTGCTTAGAAATTGGAAATTGTGCTTTTTTGCTTTTTTCTCCTTTTTCAGGTTTTTATTTTTTTTGTTTTCTCCTTTAAAATGCGCCTTCTTATTTCCAGGGATTAGAAGATCCGTGGCTTTTGTAGCAAGGCAGATGCGTGCCGTGCAGCTGGGGTCTCGGGGATAAGGATATCTGAGTTGGGAGTCTAATGATGTAAGAATCGTGCTGAGGGAAAGCGGAGAAAGAAGGGGGGGGTGATGGGATGGGGGGGTTGGGGTGATGGTGGTAGGCTTCAAAATGCTTCCTAGAGAATCGTCTTTCAGAAATAGCCGTATTGACAGCTTGTCAGTGTGTTCAGATAAGTGAACTGGGACTTAGTCTGGGCAGAAAATGTTCTGTAGCTGCTGCTCGAGCCTTCTGAACGCCTTCTCAGGGGATCCGAAGCTCTGCCGTCTACAATAAATTCCCCCGTTCCTTTTACACACTGACAAAGGAGGAAAAGGGAGCTTTAAAAATCAATAATATGCCTTTTTCTTCTTTGAATTAATATCTAGAGACCGAGATAGCTGGTAACTCGGATTATACATGCAACAAGGCTGTAGGTTGGTTGACGTTTGGCTGATCCCTTTGCCTGCTCCAAGGGGGTGCTCTATCTCAGTCACGGCTCAAAGGTGTTTTTTTGTTTGTTTTTGTCTCCTCACTATCCAGGGAATTTCCATAGACATGATCTGCTGAGAGGGCCGTCGGGGAGAGAGGATGGTCGGTGGCTCTGGCTCCTGGGAACGCCACTGTCTGGGATGTATCCAGAAGTCCGGCTGCAGTTTGACAATCTGAAGTGCACGTCAACTGGGGTAACTTGTGAGACTTTGCTGACCGTCACCCCAGCTGGAATGGCTGAATGAAGGCAGAAGAGATGAAATCAGGGACAATGTCAGGTTGGAGGGGACACTTGATGTGTGACAGGAAATAAAACCGAGACACTGAAAGATTGCCCTACACCTCCGAAAGGACATCTGCTGCCTCACCTTCTTGCCAAGGTTCAAGGTTGGATATTAAATTAAACATGAGGTGGCAACACGTACTTCTACTGGTGGTCTACTTAGATCCCTTTGGCCTCATTTATGAATGCCAAGCTGCAGCGAAGGCAAAAGGTAACAAAACTCAAGGTCCACCTAAGAGAGCAGGCAACCCCAAAGTGAAGGAACTAAACACCACGGCTGTGCCCCTACAGGTCACCACCAGGAAGGTGAAGAGCCCAGTTGTACTGCCATATGACAGATGTTTAGGCTATTATGACGTCAGTGGCCAGTGGGACAAAGAGTTTGACTGTAACCACACCACCCATCCGTACTGCTGCGGGACATGTTCTTTACGGTACTGCTGTGAACAGCGAGGCAAAAGACTGGATCAAATTGCTTGCAAGAAGTGGATCTGGGTCGTGACCACCAGACCAAATAACGTCATGGTAGAGGTGGACGCTTACGACCCCCTCAACGACAAAACCAACACCACTGTCTTCATCACCTGTGGGGTAATCACCTTCATCTTTGTTGTGGGAGTTGTTGCTAAAGTGGCTTATGACAAAGCAAGACGCCCACCTCGGGAAATGAACATCCACAGGTACGTTGGTCAGCAGTAGTCAAAGTTGACGTCTTTGTGGTTTCACTAGAGTTTGAGTAGAGTTTCAACATCCGGTCCATTAGTCCATAACCAGGGCTGGACAAATGTATTGCCTTGCCAGTAGCCAGACAGTCCAATTCAGGAGCACCTTAGCAAATTTGAGGGCACCATGCACCAAGGTATCTACCTTCACTGGCCTGAGGCTCAAACAAATTAGCCATGGGCTGTCATTTTCAGGTGCTTTGGCTCCTGAGATAGGTTCATTATCTGGCTTCTGGCATCTGCCTAACCATGCCCGTAACTGAGCAGCACTGTCCTGCTCATTACGAGTCCTTTTAATTTCTACAAAGCCATTGTTGTGTCAATGTGTGTGATAAGCTGCATTTTGTAGTTTCGCTCATTTTGGTCCTTGGATAAAACAAGCCAATGTTTAATTTGATGCACTCTACTGGTATGGTGATGGTATTGATGTGGGCCTTCTACTCAATGATTGTTTAATTTCTCACTGTAAGCTCTGCAAATTATAAAGTGGTCTTTACATTCTCTGGTCCCACCACTTTCTTGTAATAACCTGCTAGACCAGTGAAGCTTTTTTTCAATTTTCTCTTCTGAGCCTAATTCAAAAATATCTATTGTGGCCAAGACCTTTCCAAATTGTTGCCCCAGATGGTCACCTCCCTTTTTTTATTTGTCTGCTAGAGCACATCTGTGGTTCCTTAGCGTTCTTCTATTTTATTAACTTTTCCCCATGGGACTTCGAGCTGTGCCGATCCATTAATGCTTCCTCAAAACAGATCTGACAGGCTAGCCTTGTTCACACAAAAATAAATGGCTGTTGCATTTTTAACAGGTTGAAGATAAGTAACTCCTGTCATTAACACCGTGTCTTCTACAAAGAGATGACAAGGTCTCTGCGGGGGTTTCTATCGAGAAATCTAATTCATAATGCTTCTCCAGCGGGTGTGATAATGAAGCTTGCCGGCGAATGAGACACGGGACTTTTTTTTTTTTTTTTTTTTTATTACAAAAAA